TCGGATAATCTAGCAAAAAGGTCCTGCTGTGAAGCCCGTGGCCCTGTCCTTTTTTTGAGACCAGCCTCCTCTGCTTTTCTGCTTTTGGGTGCCAAAGCATAACTTTCGCGAAGTAGGCGCAGTTAAAATGGATCTCAAGGATTTTTTCATAACTTAGCCTTGAAAACAAGGAATTGTTCGGAAAAATGTCCTGCGGCAGTAGCGACCCTAGGGGTCGCTATCAAGTGGGTTGGGCAGAAAGAAATGGACTTCCATTCTCTCAACGATTTTTGGCGAAACGTAAATATGTAGTCGTAGGAGTAAGATCATGCTCTCAAGCAAACTTTTTACAATGGTAACTCTCAAATCATCTACGCTGTTCTTCTTGCAAAGCTCCTTTACTTTTCCGCTATTGAGAGCACAAGAATTTTTGCTTGGAGTGGATTTCAAGGAAGTTTTTTGTAATTTAGCCTTGAAAACAAGGAAGTCTTAACAAAAATGTCCCGCGACAGTACGACCCTACGGGTCGCTACCAAGTGGATTGGGGCAGCTACATTGATAACTCTCTGCGTGCGACTAAAAATAGTTCCTTGAAAACAAGGAATTGTTCGGAAAAATGTTCAGCGGCAGTACCTGCCCTAGGGGTCGCTATCAAGTGGGTTGGGGCAGATACATTGGTAACTATCTGCGTGCAACTTAAAATGGCAAGGAAATGGACTTCCAATCTCTCAACGATTTTTGGCGAAACGTGAATATGTAGTCGTAGGAGTAAAATCATGCTCTCAAGCAAACTTTTTACAATGGTAACTCTCAAATCATCTACGCTGTTTTTCTTGCAAAGCTCCTTTACTTTTCCGCTACTGAGAGCACATGAATTTTTGCTTGAAGTGGATTTCAAGGTTTTTTATAACTTAGCCTTGAAAACAAGGAAGTCTTGACAAAAATGTACCGCGGCAGTATGACCATACGGGTCGCTAGCAAGTGGGTTGGGGCAGATACATTGATAACTGTCTGCGTGCAACTAAAAATAGCGCCTTGAAAACGAGGAATTGTTCGGAAAAATGTCCTGCGGCAGTAGCGACCCTAGGGGTCGCTATCAAGTGGGTTGGGACAGATACATGATAACTGTCTGCGTGCAACTAAAAATAGCAAGAGAATGAGTTCCCATTTTCTCAACGATTTTTTTCGCAATGCAAGTAGTAGTGGAAGCAAGATCAGGCTCATTTCAAGATTTCATTTCAAGATCATTTCCATTTTCTCAACGATCTTGGGGCAACGTAAGTACGTAGTAGTAGAAGTAAGATTATGCTCTCAAGGAAAGTTTTCATGGTGAGTAACTCCCAAATCGCTGCTGTTCTTCTTGCAAGTACCCGACCCAGATACCACAGCTACTAAACACGAAGATCACCTCAGCAGTCATCTATGTAGAACAGGTTTCAACCCGAAACTCAGGCTGACATTCAGGAACTGTGCAACGGCCGCTAGCACATCAAGCTTCGCGATCATGCACAGTTCTATACTCTCCTTATTACGTCCCGCCAAGAAACGGTCATTTCTTAAAGCGAGACCAAAGCTTTCTCAAAGCTTTTTCTTGGACATTAGTAGCAAAAATGTCCTGTCGCATGAAACCTCTGGGTATTCAAGAGTGTATTTCAAGCGAGGTTTTGCATAATTTAGCATTGAAACTGAGAAGTCCTTAGCCTAAATCTGCTGCCGCATAAAGTCCTTTGAAGCTTTCCTTTCTTCGAGACTTATGCTTTTTTAAAGCAGAAGTGCGGTTTTCGCAAGATAAAAGCGGCCAAACTGAATTTCCAGCCTTTCCTGTGAGATTCAGCAGTGAAACCTAGAGAATCATATCAAAGATCTCCTGCCACATGAACACTAAGTCTTTTCTTCCATTAAGACAAGCTCCCTCTGCTGTGTTGTTTTTATTGGCAAAAGTAGGGATTTCACAAAGTAGAATCCGCCGAAAACGAATGCAGCAAGTTCTGGGAATTTTCACTTTAAGTCTAGTCCCTAGCTCCCTCTCCTCATTTGCTTTTAGACGCAAAAGCAATATTTTCACATTGTAAAAGCATTCAAAAGTAAGTATTTAACAGGCTTTTGTGAGATTCAGCATTTAATCCTAGAAAGTTAGCAAAATGTTCCTAGAAATTTAGGAAAATGTACTACCGCATGAATCGACTGATTCTTTTCTTCCAATGAGACGTAGCTCCCCCTGTTTTTCTATTTCTAGAGGCAAAAACAATATTTTCAAAAACAAGCATTCACAAGGTGTACAAGCATTCAAAGGGTGAGATTTAAGCGAATCCCCATAAAATTGATAGGTAATCTTACTATCATAACTTATAATAACGGGCTAAGGGTTGTTTACGTTTGTGTGTGTGTGTGAATTTCTGTCTGTCATGAAATTCGTAGAGCGAGTTCCAGCAAAGGTCTTGAGCTAGAAATTTGGTAGTAGCACCCTATCAGCAGGTAGGTAAAATATGCAAAAGCACAAGCCGATCCGATAATTGGAACCTGTGAAATTGTGCGCCAAACGGATCCACGCGACATTTCGCGCGCCAAAATTGGCCTGTAGTTGGACTTCTTTCAAAGTCATGGTTTCGTTTAGCAAGTAAATCCGCAAAATATGGAACCTAGCCCGAAAAGTGAGCAAAAAGTTTACTTTCGCGCAAGATCGGCGCCAAAAAGGAATAATTGCATAGATGATCGATTTGTCAAGGTTTTACCTGGGAATGCGGGACAATTTTTGCTCAGAGGTGTAAATCACTGTTGCTATCATCTTTATGGCGAGTATCAAGTCATTATAACCCCAATAACTAATTCAAAATCCCATTTAATCTTTTGAAGAATACTTTCTTTCCCTTAAAGTCACCGATCTTACATGAAAAAGCTTCTGGAATGAGTAATTGTTTACATTTCATTCGTGATGATCGGCATCGCGAGGTAAGTTTCAAAGACATCATTTTGCGATTACGAGGAAGGTATGTGGATAGTACAGCCAGTGCGAGCCTCTGCGTAGCAGAGTTGACGCACTGGTAATATATTATCTTATTTTCCTAACCTTCGTATTGTTCAAAATCATAATGTGCTTTTCGAAAACTAATGATTGTAAGAAGTTAGGCAGGATAGGAAGCAAAATAGGCGACAGTTTTCCGAATTATGATAGCAACTGGGGGTCAGACATTTGCACTAATTCGGTAGTCTGGAATCAATATTTCGTTGTTGTTTGTGCTCTGCACATGACCCGCACTTGATCCCCTTCTTGCTTGTGTATGAATGAGGAGGTGATCTTTGACGACTGTTGCCCATATTTGCACTTTCCATGCGGAGCAAGCTCTATAATTTGCACTCAAAGTGCATACAGTCTGGAAACTAACTACGGACGCCGTCAACTCTACGTCGCTGTTTTGCAAACTATGTGGATCCTCCTTGAGTGCATGCACTTCCCAGTACTCTCTCGGCGTTTCTCTGCACATCCGCGTTAGTTCATGTATCGCAGTTATATTTCGTCGCCGCATAATCTGGACTGCCCTGGTTGTCGCGAATCTGCTGTTAACACTGTAAGAGAACACATAGCACAACGGTAAAGCATATGGGGGAGGAGAGTACCCTCGTCGCATCGCAGTTACCAAAAGATATTATAGTAAGATCATAAACACTGTACAAACACAACGACGAAATTCTGTGCAAAAAAAATCTAACGAATTTATCGTACACCCACAGTATCCCTTCTCACTAACTTCGCTTGAACAACATTTGCCCAACAGCATCAACATCTTGTCTTGTCATACAGAAACTCTGTAGGTTTTGCTAATTGACCTTCCAGCATGAGTAAAATGATACGGCAACAAACCGAATTGCTTCCTCAACTTGCCAAATTTGCTTAATTTATGCGAAGAATGGACGAACGGATGCTTTGCTCACGTATCGACGTGAAGAAATGTTTCGAATGACTTTTCTGATGGAGTTCAAAAATAATAAAGTTTAGGTTAAATAATAAAATATACGGCTAATGAATAATTTCGGCCGCTCTTTCAACTCTTACAGATGATGCAGACTATTTTATGCCTAGAATTCGGTACCCGAGGAAAGAGCACTCTAACGAAAATTGGAACATAAAATCTGTTTGAGCAAAATTCATTTTGCTTTGGAAGAAATCCGCAAAGAAGTGAGAAAATTCAAATTGAATTTCAATTCCAAATTTTTCTATGTAGCAAACAAGAGAAAATTTGGTTTTTTTCGGTCAAAAAATTTTGAAACGGGAGATTACAATTCCTACTGGCTAGGTAGGAAAGCTTATCTTTATCCAAACACCAATTTGCTATTTTCTACATTCATTAGAGCATGAAGACGAATCGCCGAAAGTCGTAGAATTGAGCTTTTGGAATTTTAGCCATGTTGGGGCACAAATCTCCCTTGCTAATTGAAGCTTCTGATTAGTTGATATGTGGTAGAAGAACCCTTGAGCCATTTACTCAAAAGAAATCATGAATGAAGAACATTTAAAAAAGTTTTATGAAGACTTCATGCCAAAAAATTATTTTTTAGCCAACCTAATATCATTACGGTTCGTTGATACTTCCAACAATTAGCATTAAAAAATAGTTTCAAAGGAATTCCAATCAAAGAGGTTAGTGTTTCCTATCTACATCAAATAAGCCAGACTTTTTCAACCCTAATTCAGCTAGAGCTTAAAATAGTTGAATCAATATATAATCAATATCTATTCACGCATAAGAATGAATAGTTGTCTCCAATGACCTCCAATGCAATGTCTTGGCGTCAAACACTATTGTAGTTTGGTCCAATAGTGTGTATCTTAGGCAATCTTTTTCAGTTTGAAATGTCTAAAAAGAGGACAATCTATTCTTGCATTTGTAGAATCTTTCGAAACTGGCACAGAAGCTATAACATTTTTTGCAATCAATGTCCTCTTACCTTTGAAATTCATGTACCCAATGCCGAAGACGTTAAGTCAAGTGATTTTGAGAACATACAGATACTTATTCAGGAAAATGATGAAAGTTTTCTGTCTGCTTCTGGTGGTGCTCGCATATGCATCTGCCAAACACAACCGACCAAAGGTTAAGAAAGTTGAGCTTTTGACCATGGAGGACGTCGCTGAGGCCTATAAATACGTAAGCCTATAAACAATAATATAATGATTATCAAAATATATTAGTTGTTTTACAGTGCCAACCTTGCTGCTTTCATGAAGTAAACGAAGTTGTAGGCCAGGATGTCAACGACTGTCTGTCATGTTGCATGAATCCGTACAGAGTGAAAAAACCTTCCTCGTATAGGAAAGAATGCAAAAAGGGATACTACAAAGAGCCGCTCTGTTCGTATGACGAAAAGAACAAGACATTCCATGAACCAGGACTAATCGAGGAGTCTAATAAGATCAATATAGGAGCCCATACGATGGATCTTGATTATTTCTGGAAGCTGCAACCAGGATTGCTGAAATTCAAATTTAATGCTACTGAATGAAATAAACGATGTTGAACCTTCTCATTTGCTATCAGACGCATGCATACTGAAAGTCCTCATAACATAATATCGTGCTTGGCAGTTGCTTATCAAGGCTGCTTGACAGCACAGAAATTGTATTAAAATCTATGAATGAACAGAGATAAACATCAGTCAGTTTTCGATCATCTCTCATGAAACCTTTCCAGATAACACTGTTCTTCATATTTCCTCTGACGGAACTCTATCAGTATGCTTTTTGCGAAAACTTTTATGCAGAAAATGAGAGGCAATGTTTACCATTAACAAAAATTGCGAGAAAATATTTTACTAATTGGGAGGTAGGAACAAATCACTTGCATTTTATAGCACGTAGGCTAATTTCGAGGATCAGTTTATTCTCGGGGAGAAAAATGTGGTGCAAAAGAAACCACTTTGAAAAGTCAGACAATAATACTCTAGCTGAAGAACTCATAAATCAACACATAAATTTGAAATAAATAAATAATGACCCTACAATGAAAAGTAAACATTCGCAATGACCCTCGCAGTGAATGACCACAAAAGCATCAGGCAACGTGCTCAAAATCTTCACAATCTTCTCTAAAATAGACACCAAAAGTTACACAAGCTTTTTTCTCAGAAAGTTAGTTCGGACGATGTGTATCCTTCTTTCAGATTTCCGGGATTCTCTTTGTATTTACTTAAAAGAGAAATGAACAGAATGTCGTTGTTTCGCTAGAATAAGGCAGTTTCGAAATAGCCTCTCTAGTTAGTGTTTAGTGTCAGTCTGTAAGCTTTCGATTAGGAGATGCTCACTGATTAGCCCTATGTGAGTGCTCACTGCATTACCTCGTCAGAAAAGATGTCAGCAATAAAGATTACTTTGCCATGTGCAGACATAGTCGTTTTGAAGGCTACTTATATAAGTTGAAAGAAAATGCGCAAGTCTCGCTTCCTCCCCTTCCCCCCCCCCCCCATATAGTTCTGGGACAGCCACTGGTAGACATCTAGCAGGGATAGGGGGGGGGGGGGGAGACTACAACGAGCGCAAAATGCAAGCAATGCAAGTTCCCTCTTACCAACATTCAGAGATTACTTATGGCATCAAATCATAAATGCCTTCCCCATGTCTGCCCTCGTGTCATTTTAGCACCAAAAACTTTTTGAGAGGCACAAATATGGATAAAAAAGGATACCTTTAGAGATCTATAGACTTTCGGAAGCTGGTTTTTTGCATGAGTAATGCAGTAACGTAAATTAGGTCACTGTGGTAATTTTGTGAAATTTTGTCAAGATTATTGAGAGTTATGGGGGTTGATCGAGCTCAAGACAAAATCGTTTTAACAAACGCGTGGATGGATGTAGTCATACGCAGGAATTATTCTCTTTCGCAGCATCTTGAGCACACTAGCTGTGTTTGACCATGAAGTCGAAGTCGCTTGATGAAACTACTTTGAAAACATCTTTAGAATTATTAGACATTACCAAATGGTGACGTGTACTGCAACGTAACCATCTGGTAATGTCTTTCTCCCCTTTTATTTCTTACCTGACTGCTGAGCTACCTTCTCATCCGAAAACTCATCCAAACCTAAAAATACAAGTTTTTGCAGACGACATAACGATTTACTTTTACTACGAAGAAAAAGAACAATTAGAAGCTTACAGTGCAATATCTTCCGCTATCGAAAACATGAAATCATGGTCTAGCAAATGGAATCTCCCAGTAAATCCTTCTAAAACAAAGTTCTACACCTTGGGAACTCCACAAGCTGCACTTATGAGTACGATGGAGTTATCTTAGAGCGCAGTAGTAGCACCAAAGATCTGGGCATTCTTCTGGACTACCATCTCAAGTTTACTTCTCATCTCGACCTTATGACTAAAAAAGCCCTTTCATCTCTATTCGTTATATTGAGAAGCATTCAAAGTAATGATGTGACGCTCCTGGTAAGACTCTACAAGACCTATGTGCTCCCACACCTTGAGTACGCTTCACCGGTCTGGAGTCCTTTTCTGAAGAAAAATATTGATAAACTCGAAAAAGTTTAGAAGACCAGAATTGTTTACTATAGATGTTACCCAGATTCTAACTATCCTAGATCTTTGCCATCATATCATTCTAGACTGTGTGCACTAAAGCTGCACAGTCTGAAGTATAGAAGGGTATGTAATGATTTAATATTCTGCCTCAAAATTTTGCGTCTCGAAACAAGGTTGAGACTTAGTCGGTATTGGGTATTCAGGCCGTGTGGGAGAACAGGGGGTTTTGGTTTGGCTTACCGAAAATTGGGAAGCAAGTTCGTTTCCAAAGTTTTTAACTCTTTTGTATGCCGCTCTGCGAGATAGCTCAGCAAATTACCATTGGAAATAATTTCTTGTAGAAATTCAGCTGATTTTCGCAAAAAATTGGAATCGATAGATGTGTTGCAAGTGTTGAGAATTCCAGATGTTTAACCCGTTCTGATGATACAAGTAGTTCTGGCATTTTTAGCATACCTTTTGCTTATTTTTTTGGCGAGTTTTCTACCTATAAAATTTTGTGCCTTTTGGATTTCTTTTTTTTTCTACAAAGTGAGTAAACGGACTTTTCTACTGTACTATAATATTGGTAACCAACTGTTTTCACCAGATCTGCAGTCTCTTCGATTGGATCAGCCGTTCAAGGAAAGCAAAAGTTGCCCCCCCCCCCCTTCCTTGAGATCCCCCCTGTCCACTCGCCCAGGGTCCAGGGCGGATTCGTCCGTCCGGGTTAAGTTGTTCAGACAAGCTCCGGTAGCATTAGCCACGTTTGCGTTTGGTCAGGGAACAGGATTTCGGTTGAGGGCTCACCGCCATCCGGAGAATGGAAAACGACCTGCATGTTCCAGCTAGGGACTCAATTGGCTACCTGCTTTTACAGATATACCAGTTATTTCATGCATGTGTTTTTTGGCGCACTTCGGTGTATGTGAAATAAATAAAAAATAAATAAATAACCCTCGATCCCATTTCCTAACTGGTCATATCGGATTTCAAAGGATGATTTCACCAAAATGTTTGTATCTCTAATACACATTGTTCCGCACTTTAGCAGAAAGAAAGAGCTAGCTGTTAGATGCAAAAAATAGACGTTTCTGGTTGAGCAGGAAAATTTCATCTCCACTCTTCATTTACTCACAACGCAAACATGTGGGTTTGAACATTTATAGCTTTGAGCAACAAAATATTCTGGTGCAAGTATTGAGTAGTATTGGCCTCCTTCTTTGGTAAGTCATTACTGACTTACCAAAGAAGGAGGCCACTGCTACTGTATACTATCCGCAACTTCACCCCTCCCTACCTCCTGTTTAAGAAGAAGATGGAGGTACACGCGCCGTTTGTATTTCATAATTTTTACATGTCATTTATATATTGTAATTCAAGGCCTGATGATGATTTTAAAAATCGAAACGTTGCCGTGCCAATAAACTACTGATTAAGAGCTCTCCTCAATACTTGCATCAGAATCCAGCATGAAGCTCAGAGATAACACTATGCTGAATAAAATATTCAACCCCAAAAGTGATCCATCAGGGAACCGTCTGTACATACTTTCAATGATGATGATTTTGAAGCTTTGGAAGTCAAAACTTCACTACTTTTGGAATAATCGGGCCTGTGTGAATTAGAAAGAACTCGGAACGAGGCAAAAAATATTTGGCGGAATTTTGCGCACCATAAAAATTCGCAAAGTACTTGAAAAAAAAAACTTTATCGGTAAAAACATCATCAAATAAGGCAGGTTTCAACTCAAGTCTAAAATGACTATGAAAAAACTACTCTGAAAACTTGGAAGCTTTTGTTAAGACTACTCTCTTGATAACTGTGCAAGAAGAATTTTTTACAGAAAGGTAGGTCCATAGTTGTAGAAACAATATCAGAATTTAAAATCCGATCTAACTAGAAGCAATCAACTTCTTGTTTTTAGATAAACCCCCCCCCCCCCTTGGGTTTGGAGTAGTTGCTTATATATACTGCACAGTCTCAAAATCATTGACTGTAAAACTCTGAAACCGATCAACATGTTCCTCGTGAAAATATCACGGAATAACAAAAGAAAGCGATTTACTGCAAGTGTGTCATGCCATGCTCCTAATATACGTCAATCCTAATCATCTTGGCATAGGCAAATCTAACCTTGAGAGAGAGACTTTGGTAGATACGAAAATTATACCTCAAGGTAAATTGTACCTTGAGGTACAGCTCAAAGTAAATTGTATTGCAGTAGGGTTCATTCTAATATCATCATTTTAGTTGGAAGCAGGGGAGGATGTGTTCAATAAAATCAGTTCTTTTTCTAAAGGACGGCTAAATTTGCCGGAAAAAACTCCGAAGTGTCCAAAAGCGCCGAAAACCATTGAAAGCGGGCAAAAGCGCCACGCGCCAGCCACAGGCTCCTGAAAAATCACTGAGGTCTGCAAGCTTGAAGTTATTGGCACGGTCAGGTCCGCTTTTTATTCGAAACCAATATCGTTTCAGACAGTACTCTGCGTTGATACCACTGCTT